CCTTCTCCCCCTCTGGTCCACCATAACCATCGGAAGCGAAGCTCGTCTTCGGTTTCCGTTTCGGTTTCGGCCTCGACGTCGTCGTACCATGTTCCGCCGCTTGCGATAGTGGACCCGACCCGTTTCTGCGGTGAGCTCACTTACTCTCCGACGACGGCGACGGCTCAGACGGCGGTAACGGCTGTGACCCATCAGCCGCATTTGGTGTTATCCGGTGGGAAAGACGACTTGGGAGCTCTGGCGATGCTGGAGGACAGTGTGAAGAAGCTCAAGAGTCCCAAAACTTCACCTGGGCCGACGCTGAGTAAGACCCAGGTGGAATTTGCGCTTGATTTTTTGGCTGATTGGGTGTTTGAGTCTTGTGGGTCGGTCTCGTTTTCGAGCCTTGAGCACCCAAAGTTCAGAGCTTTTCTCAACCAGGTGGGTTTACCGGCGATTTCTCGGAGGGAGTTCACTGGGTCGAGACTCGATGCTAGGTTTGAGGAAGCTAAGGCCGAGTCAGAGGCCAGAATTAGAGACGCCATGTTCTTTCAGGTTGCCTCCGATGGGTGGAAGAACAAGAGCTTTGGTGCGTTTGGAGAGGATGGTCTTGTGAATTTGACTGTGAATCTTCCCAATGGGACTAGTTTGTACAGGAGAGCTGTGTTTGTGGGTGGTTCTGTGCCTTCTACGTATGCTGAGGAGGTTTTGTGGGACACAGTGACAAGCATTTGTGGGAATGTTGTGCAGCAGTGTGTAGGGATAGTAGCAGACAAGTTTAAGTCCAAGGCATTGAGGAATTTAGAGACTCAGAATCACTGGATGGTTAATCTTTCTTGTCAGTTTCAGGGTTTCAATAGTTTGATTAAGGATTTCAGTAAGGAACTTCCATTGTTTAAGGCTGTGACTGAAAATTGTTTCAAGCTTGCAAATTTCGTGAATAACAAGTCTCAGGTTAGGAGTAGCTTTCATAAGTATCAGTCCCAAGAATATGGTCATGCTGGGTTATTAAGAGTGCCCTTGCGTGAGTTTGAAATGGTCAACTTTGGATCAGTGCATGTAATGCTTGAGGATATTCTGAGCTCAGCCAGAGCACTTCAGTTGGTCCTGCTGGATGAATCTTATAAAGTGGCGTCCATGGAGGACCCAACAGCTAGAGAAGTTGCTGAGATGATTGGGGATGTGGGGTTTTGGAATGAATTGGAGGCAGTGCATTCCTTGGTTAAGTTGATCAAGGACATGGCTCAAGAAATTGAAACAGAGAGGCCACTGGTTGGGAAATGCCTCCCACTTTGGGATGAGCTAAGAGCAAAAGTGAAGGATTGGTGTTCCAATTTCCACATTGCCGAAGAACCGGTGGAGAAGGTGATTGAAAGGCGGTTCAAGAAGAATTACCATCCAGCTTGGGCTGCTGCATTTATACTTGATCCACTTTATTTGATTAGGGATAATAGTGGGAAGTATCTTCCACCTTTCAAATTGCTGACACCTGAGCAGGAGAAGGATGTGGACAAGCTCATAACCCGGCTTGTGACGAGGGAGGAGGCCCATATTGCACTAATGGAACTCATGAAATGGAGAACAGAAGGGCTTGATCCGGTATATGCACGTGCTGTACAGATGAAGGAAAGGGATCCCATTACAGGCAAGATGAGAATTGCTAACCCACAGAGCAGTCGGCTTGTGTGGGAGACATACCTCACTGAATTTAAGTCACTAGGGAAAGTTGCAGTTAGGCTCATCTTCCTTCATGCAACTTCATGTGGGTTCAAATGCAATTGGTCATTATTGAGATGGGTGTCTGCCCATGGGCACTCAAGGGTGGGCATGGACAAGGCACAGAAGTTGATATTCATTGCAGCTCATTCCAAACTTGAGAGGCGGGATTTTTCCTGTGATGAAGATAAGGATGCAGAGCTACTTGCCTTAGCAAACGGTGAGGATGATGTGTTAACTGAAGTTCTTGTTGATACATCCTCAGTGTAACTTTTTTTTTTTCCCCCTCGAGTAGAAATTGAAATTTGTAGGATTTATTGAATTCTTTTCACTATTTTTTTTTCATGTTGTACCTGTTTACTTACTCTCTAGAAGATTATAGGGCAGTAAGGTCAGGGAAAGAGGGACACTGTAGGGATTGAATTTGTATTTCTAGCACTGCACAGCCTCATGATTTGAGCCACTGCCCATTTTCACCCTAGCATGATTTTGAAGTTTTTGGGTTTGCTGAAAAGAAACACTTCTTGTTTGTGAAGAAAGAGGATGCTGAGCTAAGAACAGGAAGGATGTTGTAAAATTTTTGTACCTCAAGTACTTTGAGATAAATAATATTTTGTAAAGGGGAAGGTTTTATTATTTCTCCTTTGTTTTAATATCAAATCTCCAGATTGACCTTTTCTTTTTCCTCCTTTTGCTTTTTAAAATAGAGTTTAAACTAATTAAGCTATAATTAAAGAACTATAATCTTGTGAACATATTGGTGTTGTCATCTTTCTCATGGATAGATTATGTATCTGTTTTGATTTGGCTTGTAAATTGCATAAAGCAATTATGTGATTTTTCTTCTTTCTGAACAAGGTATCACTGACTGCATCAATTATCTTGCTTTTAAACTGCAGGAGCCATTTTTTGCATCCTAAGCAGAAGGTGCTTTCTTCTGTAATTCAACTGTCGTAATAATACCTCCTCCATGTTGCTATTATTGATGAAGTATATTTTCTACAAAGGGAATTGACTTTCTGTCCGAAAAAGTTGCAAAATTTATCTTCAAAATCGTCCAACAGTCCAACGGAAATTTTAGGTTAAAGTGTAGAGTCAAACCCTTTTCCTTTGTTCTGTAGGTGAAGAATCATGAGAGGGTTTCACCTAAAAACTCGCAGCTTATCTTTTAGGAATTAGAAGCCAGAAGGTCTTGCGGTCCTCATTTGCTTATCTAGAGGTCTTATTCAATCAACATCCTCGTACCAAGACAATAAAATGACTGAATGATCTTGTTTCTTATGAATATCTCTATTTGTTATGCTTAGACATGCCTTTTACTTCTTCAATCAAAATACCTACCCAGTCAAAAACCCAACTCATAAAAATTTCAGTTTCTTTCCACTTCTGGTGTTGAATTTTACTTTTCTTTAGGTTCCTGAAGGACTTGAATCTAGTTGTTCCTCGAGTCTAATAACAGAAATGTTTTGTGTTTGGAGTTTGGATTTATCCAACCTGCCAAACCAGAAAAGTTTTGCTATGTGTTGACAACTTCTGTTTAGATGTGAAATCACTAACTACAGTTATTTGAGCTGCATAATTAGCTGGATGGAATTATGCTAATGTTATCTCTTTCTCTCTTTTTTGGCAGAAGCATTCGACAAAGATATTATTGGACTGGAGAGGCCACCTTAAGGTGGTTGGTTGTTAGCATAACCATTGGACCATGACAAAAGAAGGGTTTGCCAAAAAGGGATCCAAAGAAAGGATTTTTGACCTGAAATTTCTGCAATGACGTGTCCTTTGCAGAGAGGAGCAGAGAGCTTTGCACTAAATGGGTTGGGTGAATGGCAAGCTGAGTTTCAGAAAAGTGTGGGGGTCAACAACAGCCTTGTAAAGACCTCAAGCATAAAAAGCTTTAGAGCTGGAGGAGCACTTCTAACTGTTTCTATCTCATCCACTTTTATTTGGTTCTGGTTTTTGTGTCCTTAGAAAAAGTGGAGCCCCCACATCACCATGAAAAAAAAAAAAATCTGAGAGAAGTGGAAGTCTTTTTCCAAGCTTTGGTTTGGTCATGGAGATAGGATCAGAGGGTTTCTTTTCTGCCATCAAATCAAATAACAGAGCTTTGTTTTTGGGATAACTTCTCTTTTAAACATTCCAAAGCTTCATGAAAGTTGTTCATGCAGAGAGAGAGAGTAATTGGGCGATGCTTCCCATGATTGCAAGAAAGGTGTTGAAAGAACCCAATTGCAAAAGAAGACTGTCGGCATGAAGCAACACAGAAGATGCTTGAGAACGATGCCACAGTCCAAGTTTTAGGCTCATTTTTCATTTAGGGTCCTTGACTTGTTTAGTCCTCTTGGAGTTGAAAAACTACATATTTAAACAGCTAGTGGTCTTGGAAACTGATGTATGCATCGATATCATGCATGTCTATGTATATATAGTTGTCTAATCACTTGTTTACAACCACATGGTTTACACATAATTATTTATTTATTTATTCTTTTCAGAACTCTTATCGTTATTTAAGAAAAGCCATCATGCGCTCTTTCTTTACAAAAACGTACGAAAGAAATTTAAGGTGACTTTTCTAGAATGTCAATAACAACTCTCATTTTTTATTCCGAAACACAAATGATGTGTTATGTGAATGTTCAGAAGATTAAGCATTTAGTTTGAGCTTGGTTTTAATTGGGTCTTCGTAGTTTCGATTTGGTTATCTACGTCACGTAATTACCTAATACTTGTAATTGAGTCGAAATTGAGAAGCCAAATTATGGAGATCTTTATTATTGAAAGGAGTCGCAAAAACAAATATTGTAAATATTGCAGAATGGTGTATGGTACAGCCGTACTATTTGGTAATGACTATGGGAACCAACCAATTGACAAAATAGCTAGTCACCTGCTCTTTCTTCATTCCAGGTAAAAAGTAGTTTCCCAATTATGGAAACCTATAACAGGTTCTCTCAGCATCTTTTTCATGCATGCTGCTCTCACTCTGCTTTCTGCACCGCAGATCTTTCTTTTTTGGTTTTTTTTTTTCTCAAGAAACTGCACAGCTAGCAAATACCATCCTTTACCTTAAACCACTTTAAAATTTGAACATTTTTTTCCCTATCAGATTTTCCCTCTGTATCTGCTAGGGTTAATTTCAAAACTCACCAACTCACACCCACCACCTCACAATCAAGTATTCAAGTGGGTCTCTCTCTCTCTCTCTTTCTCTCCTTCACTTTTGGATGGTTGAGTGAAGTGAGTAGAAAAGTAGACAGAATTAATTATGGTATTAATATATTAATTATCTCCTAATTACTCTTTTATTGTGAGAGACAGAAATCCTTGTCGGCAGAGGTCACCAACACTGACTGCTCACCAACTATGCCTCTCTCTCTCTCTCTCTCTCTCCCTCTCCCCACTCATTCTTCTGCTGTAAAAGGGAAAGGAAATATAATACTAATCATAGGAAGACACTCTCTTTATACAAGAATCTTCCCTATTCCAATGCTACTCATTATCAATCTCTTTTTTTCGCTTTCTTAGTTTTTACATAAAATGTTCATTTTATTTCGACCAAAAAAGAAATGTTGATTTTAGTTTACAATCAACTCACAGAAAGAGAATATATGATTAGCAGTGGGGATTATGTGAAATCTATGGCTATTGCTGTAATTATTGGTGTGAACTTAACCTTCAGGAGAATGATTAATGCAATTGACTTATTATAAAAGTACTGTTATTTGTATCATCTCAATTCACCACGCGTCGTAATATAATTAGAGATGGTACAAATTAAAAACTAAAGCATGATGAAGTAGTTGAGATGGTTGAAATAATTTTCTTATAATCTACTCTTGCAGTAGTAGCCGAACTAGTTAATCATCTTTCTTTGTTTTTTCTTCTAAATTTCCTAACCCATGCAGCCATGCCAGTGCTGGCTGTTGGGGCTTTGCAAGCTTGTGGTCCTTGTTGTTTTCTTTTCTTACCAAAGACAAGCACTTACTGGGCCTATTTTCATCTTACTGCTTCAGTAGAATCAGCATCATAACATCAAAAGAATTGATAATCCCAACTGGCAATGAATTATCCAAATTCTATAGTTTCAAACCAGACTGTCACATAATTAATATAGTTTCAAACCAAATAGTATGATCCATGGACCACCAATTTTTACTACAGAGGTCAGCTCCTCGATTGGCACGCTTCATTTCTCACATACTTTCACTGTTATTTCACATGGTAGATATATATTTTTTTTGTGATGTTTACATAACGAGGTCATATAGTTGCACTACAAATTTTCAGTAATTTTGGCTGCTTGTAAGATGTTTATCTGATTTGAATGAAGTTCGTTTGCTTTCGATAATAAAAAAGAAAAAAAAAGAAAAAAAAAGTGGAAGTCAAAAAGTATCTCCTCTTAATTTTATGTAATTTTCACCCATGTTTCATTAAAGTTTTGCAATTTTAGTCTAATGATATTTCTCTCTTTTTGAGGTTGGGAACTGTTTCTGCGGTTGGAAGATGTCCCAAGTAATATTGACTCACGATTTACTTTTTAGTATAGTTTTGTGAGTTTATCCCAAATTAAAAAAGTATAGAATTGTTGTAAGTATATAAAGATAATGGACCATTCCACTCCACTCGTCGCCAATTGATTTTAGGTTGAGTCTCCTAACCCATGAAGCTAAGAAAATTCACTATGGGATTTTATAAAATAGGAGAAAATTTGAGGCTGGAAAAGGATGAGAAATGGAGCACGTCTCCCATCCCACCAAGTGACAAATGAGTCTAATACTGAGTCTAATGAGAGAATGCTGCCACACTCTTATGAACCCGATCTATTACCAAACAAACACAGAATCTTAGCATGTTGGGTAATTGATTGGTACAAGGAAGTTTATTTTATTTTACTTTCAAATTTGGTTAAATGGTACCCTGTCATGGATGAAAAGAAAAACAGAACAACACAAGAACACAAAAACAAAAACAAAAAGAAGGTGATGAGAGTTGGACCATTCATTCAGTTCATCACATGATCCTGCGAAATCTGTGAAAGTTGGTGACTGATCAGACTGAGTCTTGACTCATAGAGTCTGATTGAATTATATGTATATATTTGGAACAGACTGAGCAGGAGAAAAAATCTGATCAACTTCTAGTCTTAGAAGACTTGTTCTAGTCACGTGGTCCACTTTTAGTCTGCTGCTGCTCTGCTGGTTTTTCTTTTTTTGTTTTTGTTTTTGTTTTTGTTTTTGTTTTTTGGGCTGATGCTATTGACTGCTGGATTGGAATTCATAATTGTTTTGTTTGTGATTACTTGTAGTTGCAGCTTGGCTTCATGCTGATCTCATGATCCATCATCTGCATCAGATAAAAATTGAGCGAGATTCTAGGGACTCTAGGCGATGACCAAAAAAAAAAAAAAAAAGCCCCCACATCCCAGTCCCATATAAGAACAGCGCGTGTTACTAATTTTTAAGGTCGCGTGTTCGAATCCTCATTCTCCAATGTCTCGCTTGCGTTGAAAAAAAAACCCATTGTCATAATTTGGTTTAAAACATGTGGAAACGACTCTTGTAGACTTGAGATAATCATGATTAACATTAGAATAAAATGTATTAATTTCTGGCGTAGCTTAGATTAGGAACCACTAACGAAAACTGTGAATAAAAAGTCTGAAGGAAACTGCTCACGTGCACACAGAGGAAATGTCACAATATGAATAGCAGCCTTTTAATTTCTACCTCATGTACAAGAATCAATTTTCGTTAATTATTTAATTAAGCTTTAGTTAGTTAACACTCACCTTTCACAAGACAACCAACGAAATCATTGCTACTCTACTCTACTTTCCATTTCTTTCAACTGAGTCATTATCCTATTACTAGCTCCTCATAATCCCAATTACTTTTTTAATATCAAGTTGCTAGCTATCTTTCTCATTTGTCCTTCTCCCGATTATCTTTTTAATGTGTATTTTATTTATGGTTTAAATGGAATTCGCATGTCAAAATATTAGTAAAAAAATAATTTGGAAAGACAAATCAAGAAAAAGTAGCTAGCATTCTCCTCTTAATACTCTGCTCGTCGTATTAAATTAACAGTTACAGATCCCAAATATTAAAGAAAAAGTAAGTATAAGAAAATTAAGTGCTTGTGACTGGTGCTTATGATTTGACTAATGTGAAAAATGTGGCTTGCTTTTGGTGGCATTGACAGAATTCTCATGGTGGGGGCAAATCTCCAATTACCATAATTTGATTCAGCACCCTTTGATTTTTAACCTTTTCCTTTTGGGGCTTTTTCAGCAGTCAATTTTGCTTTCATTTGATTATGTCTTCTTTTTCAGTATTTTGATATCATGTAGTCCATATATATACTATATAGAAAGACTGGAACTAAGAACCCTAAATTACCCTTCATCTTTCTCACTTCTTTTTTTTTGGTTACATTGGAGGAAAGAAACCCCACTGGGGTTCGATCCTGGGTGCCACGGGGGGAAGGGGGAATCCACCACCACTGTGGTGGGAACCCATTGGCCATCTTTCTCACTTCAACTTCAAGGTTTCATACACCTTTTGGGCTTTTGGCAATGTAGAAGAAAGTTGTCATTTCAGTAAAGTTTCATACCCAACCACTACCCATTTGCCCAATTTTCTCATTAGTACTCAATACTCAGTATCAGCTTTAGTCACTTTATAATTACTTACTGTATAGAATCTGGAAATTAGATTTGGTGGGTGCATCATATGTATTCCCAACTAATTGGGTTGCTTTGGACAAAAGAAATTAAGTGGGACTTCCCCATAAATTCTTATAACAATATTTGGTTTTCCCATGTGCTGCAATTAGAATACACAATTGTTGTTGAAAGAGAGTATGAGTGGAAGAATTTTATAAGGAAAAAAAATATTGTAATACTAGGAGAGTAGAAGTTGTATTTCTACCTAACCCATATAAAATGGGATGGAAAACCTCATTAGTGTTAATAAATTATGGTAAAAAAATATTGTGTCTCAAGTGGTTATCCATGCATATGATGAGATCACGTGTTTGATTCCCACCCTCTCACAATATCGCTTATATTTATAAAATAAAAAAAACTATGAAATGATGAATGATGCATTGATGCATGTTTTGTTATCAAAATTTGTCCAAAAAAACTAAATGAATCATGGGTTAGTGTAAATACTTGAGTATCACTAATTTGGCTGCAGATTAGTTTATAACTCAATACTCATTAGCATCTAATTTTTAAGATTATAAACTCAAAATTAGTTGAACACTGATATCATATATAAACTCCAATGATTAAGGCATATGCACTGTTGTAGCCTGAAGAGAATGTATGCGTTAATTGAGGCACCAAAATTAGGGAAAGTGGTTTAAGAACTGTTGGGGAACCACAAATAAAGAAAGTCATAGACATAATAATGGTTTTCTTGGCAATAACAGAAAAACAAAAGCAAAAGAAGAAAAAAAAAAGTTAGGTACTTTTGTTAAGCATCATATCAGTATAGTTCGTGTATGGTACTGCTGAGCAAGGGTTGACATTTCAAGAATAAAATCTCTATTTTCAAAATCAAAGTCACAATTCTTAGACAATTGTTTAAAATCATTATAACTTACATGTAACGAGTGAGTATGTACAATGTAATCGCTCATAAATATACAACCATTACGTGTAAGTGTTTTTAACCGTGATATGAACTCCGATTTTCAGGAATGGATCCAGGGACATATTTTAGGTGGGCCGAAGTTCAAGCCCAGCAAGGGAAACAGAAGAGTTATGTTTGGGCTAAAGTCCAAGCCCATTAAATAAGAACCAAATTTTATATTAACAACCAATACGAGGTTCAAAGTAATCCACGTAGGTCCTTTCAAAACCACAACTTTAGCCGTTTGGTTTCCCTCCTTTTCTTCCTCATTTCCTACGTACTTCACATTCTCTGTTTCTTCCCCCATTGACGTACTCGTACACCGACCCACCGACCGTGGCCCACATTATCCGTTCACCTCCTGCGCACGTTAGCAAGCACCCTCTTTTCCCCTTCCTCTTCCCCGTCCACTCATCCATGGCCGCTAACTCCGCCGCCTTGCAACCGGGTCGGGTTCGGATTCTGAAAGAAGCGTCCAAATCGGCGGGTCAAAATGTGGGTCCCGTCGTTTACTGGATGTTCAGAGACCAAAGGGTTAGAGACAATTGGGCCTTGATCCACGCCGTTGAGCAGGCCCACAAGGCCAATGTCCCCGTGGCTGTGGCGTTCAATCTGTTTGATCAGTTTCTTGGCGCCAAAGCCCGCCAGTTAGGGTTTATGCTGAGGGGTTTGCGACAATTGCATCGTGATCTTGAAGAAACGCATCAAATTCCATTTTTTCTCTTCCGGGTAAGTTAAAGACCACATTTTTCAAATACCCATTTGGTCTTTTTTGCATTTGTAATCTGTTTGTGTTTGGTTTCTGAGAAAGAAAAAAAAATTGGAATTGATTGTTACCCCGAAATAATGTGCTCTATTTGGCTTTCTGGAATCTCATGACGGTCCATAACTCATATATGGGGACTTGTTTGTTTGGTTTCTATTTTTACATACAGGGAAATGCTGAGGACACTATACCCAATTTTGTGAGTGAATGTGGGGCTTCACTTTTAGTAACGGACTTCTCACCCTTACGGGAAGTTCGGAAATGTAAAGAGGAAATTTGCAAGAGGGTTAGTGATTTTGTGACAATACATGAAGTTGATGCACACAATGTGGTGCCCCTTTGGGCGGCATCAGAGAAGTTGGAGTATAGTGCTAGGACTATAAGGAGTAAGATAAACAAAAAGCTTCCAGAGTACCTAATCGAATTTCCTATGCTGCAGCCACCAGTTACAAAATGGGTGGGCACTAGTCGATTGATTGACTGGGATAGCCTCATTGACGAAGTTTTGAGGTTAGGTGTCATTTTACTTTGACAATTAGTTGGGATTATTGGGGATTCCATTGTTGATTCTGTACTTGTGTATAACTAGGAAAGGAGCAGAAGTTCCTGAAATCGATTGGTGTGAACCGGGAGAAAAGGCGGCAATGGAAGTTTTGATGGGTAGCAAAAATGGGTTCTTGACGACAAGGTTGAAGGGTTATTCATTAGACCGGAATAACCCTTTGAAACCGAGAGGTCTCTCGGGTCTTTCTCCATATTTGCATTTTGGGCAAATATCTGCACAGAGGTGCGCCTTAGAGGCACGTAGCATCCGGAAACTCTGTCCTGAGGTTAGTAATATCAAATTCAGGTTTAACTATTCTTAATCACGTTGTAGTCGGACTATTTGATTTGTTTTTGCTCTAGATTTTGCCTTATATGTTGTGTGACTCTGCCATAGCACCAAGAACCTAGTACAGTTTGCTGTCATATATCATTAATTCGTCTCTTGCTTTATGCGAAGTTATTGTGTGTGATATATTGCTGAACTCCTATTTCTGCATGGTATCTAAGGCAGTCGATGCATTTGTAGAGGAGCTGATTGTGCGCCGAGAACTTGCCGATAACTTCTGCTTCTACCAGCCTCATTATGATTCATTACAAGGGGCATGGGAATGGGCACGTAAAACTTTGATGGACCATGCTTTTGATAAGCGAGAACATATTTACACGTCGGTATCTTGGTTTTGATTTGTTGCTTTGTGCTATTTTTGTTTGCGAAGTGATGGTTATGAACTATCTGAACAAAATACTGAAATTGCAGTAAGGAGCAATTGGAGAAGGCACAAACAGCCGATCCTGTAAGTTGATTTTCTGGGCTCGTCTTTCATGTCTTGTTTGAATGAGATTTTGGGTGTATCCGAACATTGCCTAGGTTTTCTACCTCCTCTTGTTCAACCTTTATATAATTATGATTGCGCTTTGTGCAGATTATGTATTTGTTTGTGAACTCAGTTACATGTCTTTGGGTCCTCTTTTGTATCAATCTCTACTGACCTATTTCTTGTGCTCTTGATTTTCAGCTCTGGAATGCCTCTCAATTGGAGATGGTTTATTATGGGAAGATGCATGGTTTTATGCGGCAAGTAACCTTTTGATGGATTATATTCTCTTCATGGTTTAATGGTTTACTGTTCTGCTTAGGGTTTTTTTTATAAATGTTTTCTGATATTTGAAAACTTCATGGATTCTCATTGCATTATTTTGTCTTGATCTCTAAGAAAAACAAAATTATGGATTTATGTCGTCCCGTTTATGCAATGCTGCTATTTACTAAGCATGATGTCCATTGTTGTTGCTATGTTTGCTTACATTATTATCGCATGCTGTTTTAGTGTTTCATTAAGTCCTAATAGGCTTCTTTTTACCTTTTCATTCTCATTTCGCTTGCCAATATCGTAATGTTGGTAATGTTTTCTGTCACAACAGAAAAAAATTTTGGTTTTACTTTTTTTTAATTTTCTTGTGTGAAATTTTGATTCTGTTATCCACCCAATGAGACTTTGAAAGTCATGTGCAGGATGTATTGGGCAAAAAAGATTCTTGAGTGGACAAGAGGACCTGAAGAAGCCCTTGAAATATCCATATACCTAAATAACAAGGTAAAAAGTTCAGTTCTCTAATGCTTTTCTGGAGGTGGTTACAAAATTTTCACCTAGATTCTTTGCCTCATAACTCTTGCAGTATGAAATAGATGGAAGGGATCCGAATGGGTATGTTGGTTGCATGTGGTCAGTATGTGGTGTTCACGACCAGGTCTGTGTCCATTTCTCTTTTTGCTTTGGGTGATGCATTTTATATCAGCTGTATTTCGTCGTAACTTTTCCATAATTGAATCTTTCCATCGATAACTGGATGCAATACAAAGTTACAAATGTTAGGTTAGATGTGGTCCTAGATTCCATGAGCTTATGAATCGCAAAGAAATTAGAATGTTCATCTTTTCTTAAAAGATTCTCTCATTTGATCCTTCGTTATGGCATTTCAGGGTTGGAAGGAACGGCCAATTTTTGGGAAAATACGTTACATGAACTATGCAGGCTGCAAAAGGAAATTTGATGTGGATGGATACATTGCCTATGTAAAGAGGCTTGGTGAAACCAAGAAGAGAAAAGCAGAAAGTCTACTTGGCAGAAAGGCAAAAGAACTCTGCACTTAGTGCTTTGGATTATTGAAGTGAATGTAGTAATCTGCAGAATCGTCACGAAGAAAAGCATAGTTAGAACTTAGATGACAGTTTATAAAGAAAGATAGGTAATAGAGTTGCAGGCCTTCTCAGTAAAACCTATATTCCAAGCTGTCACGGGTTCTGCCCGCCCAAATTGCAACCATTTGGTGCCAGGTTTTTTTGCCTCTTAGAATGCTCTAGGTCTTATTGTTGCTCAACTATGTACTGGAATTCTTGTTTCTTTCCCCCCTCTTTGGCGAATGTATTTATCCATTACATGAAAACCGCCTTATTATAGAAAAAATATTGTAAGCTTTCATGCATTTGGCAGAAACAGTTAAAAAGTGTCTTGAGTTATAAATGTATTCTTTTAGTGCAGAATTGCTTATGAGCATATTTCAGCCGTACATGAGTCTATTGAGTCCCAATTTCCCAAAGGTAGTAGAAAGTCAATAATATTTCAGCCGTGCATTACCAAATAGTTATCCCAATAGTATTAATAAAAAACAACAGACGCATGTCCCTTCTTCTTAACAGTTAATTTGTGCAACAAAAGAATCCATTCAAGCTTAACAGTTTGCAGAAACATGCACTAATACAGAGACCAACAGATATAGGCTTTTGGGAGAGACTGATATGGTCACTTGTGGTTTCTTACAATCCGAGTTGATTTCTCTGTCTATCTCTCTCCCTCTCTAATCCTTCTCGCATTCAACATCGTCTTGCATTCCAGCTTGTTTTCTACATCCGCTTTCTTTTCGGTTTGCCATCATTTTTGGGTTTTTTCTGGTTGGCTTTCTCATACTGCCTGGGGGCTACTTCCTTCTTCCTGCCAGCTATTCCCTGGTTGGGTTTTCTCTGGTTGGCCTTCTCATGTTGCCTGGGGGGGTACTTCCTCATTCCTGTCTTGGCCTCTTTCTGCAAAAGCAAAACCCAATTATATCACGGAAACTAGACAAGAAGGCTAATAAAAACACTTAATAAACATGTAAACCATTGAATCTCTTTATTCATGGGCATTAAATAAATAAAAAGATTTCATGTAAACACCATATCTATTTCACCTTTGCCATTCTCAACAGAGTGGATTCTACTTCTTGTTTTGGCTGCTCGTGCAAATTAACCAGATTAGATCATTCCACTTGGAAAAGTGTTTTACATGGTTCTGAATTGTTGGCTAAAGGAATTGGGTGGCGAGTTGGAAAGGGAGATGTGGAGAGAGTCTTAGGAGTGTGGTTTAAGGTTTAGGGTTTAGGTGGTGCAGCGAATTATTAAATATCCCGTTGGGTTTGGGGCCTTTTCAGCTAACTTAAATCTGCTTATAATCTTCTCTTTAGTGATTTTGGAGAAGCTGGAAGCTGTTATGGAAGTGGAAAATCCCTCCTAAATTGGAAATTTTTCTTTGGCTTGCGCTTCAAGGTAAAGCGCTTTCTAAAGAACAGAGGTTGAGAAGGGAGTTAACCCTTGATCCTTCTTGCAATTTTTGCGGATGGCATTCCGAATCTCTCCTCCATGTTCTCAGAGACGTCTGTCCGAGGTCTAGGGAGGTTTGGGCTTTGTTTTTGAATGTTCAAAGTAAGTTTTTTCTTGCTGATTTTAAACCACGGCTGTTGAGGAATTTGCTGTCTAAAGCTCAGTGGAGTGCATTTTGACTGGTGCACACCCTGTTTGTGTTCATTTGTTGGTATGTTTGGAAGTGGCGAAATCAACAGGTTTCTAACGATCATGGAGATTTGCCTAACCATCCTAGGCAAAGTATTATGTCTGATGTTAGAATGGACAAAGTGCCAATCCTCATTGCAGCAAGAAAAGCTGTTAGGCTTCAGTTTTTTGAATTTCTAATGGTCATATTAATACTGGATTCAGTATGTCAATATAATACAGATTCACAGAACCAACAACGGAGCCTAAGCTCCATCTAGAATGTCTAACGCGCCACTACCAAAATCAATAGGTAGGGTCTTTACAAAAACAAAAGAGGAAAAGAATATGGATACAATGAGATGATGCATGCATCTATGGTTACAGATTGGATTGGCGACAACCAATGTCATTCCCAGCCTTTCCCATGGCCTCCACATTCAAATCTGGAGATCATCCAATGAGAGCTCGTTTGCTGTCATCATTTTTAGTTTCTGCACATTAAAACAGCCAACAGAATTTTAAAATTACTGCAAGTTGGAGTGGATGATAGGAGAACTTGTCTGACGATATTAGGTCTACTCAAGCTTTGAAGATCAAAACTAAAGTTCATTACCGTAATAAATGGTGCAGGATCGTCAAGACATGAGGAGCCTAGAACAACTTCCCTCCTCAGCTTGGTTGTGAGCTTGTGGCAAACCCTAAGCTGAAAATGAAACATGATTTCTCAGCTCAATAAGCGAGAAAAAGAAATTATCATAACTTCATTTGAGGACAAGTGGAACACTTTCGTACCTCTGATCTAGTAGCTCCTCCTACTATAACTACAAATATGCGTTGTCCCATCTTCTTGAAATCACTAGAAGCATGCCTTAATACTGAATCACTACAGGCAGCAGGAGAAAAATAAAATTACAGTTATGAGAAAAATAAATAAATAATCATTGGAAGGACACACAACTACTATATATGGTAGGATTCAAAATGCACAATCCCATAAGTAGCCCGGATTATTTAGGGTTTCTTGATCATGAAGGGAATAACAACTCAGCTGCACACACAAAGAGAGTGACAAGATACCTTGAATACCCGTCATCAGAATTCTTCGGCCGTGCCCATGTTGGTGCCCGTCTTGATCTCATTGAATGAGCAACTGGATGTTGATGTATTGCTGCACCATGTGATGTCCCATGAAAAGTTGGACTTGGGTCGTTTAAACAAGGATAATCCTCCTTGGACAGTTCACCTTTGCTAAGGCTTTCTACAAGTTCCTGAAAGAAGAGAAAATTTTGGATACAAAATCCGTAACTTTGTAGCTTTAACCATTGGAATTGAGTTGCATGGTAGACTCACGACATGGTGATGGTTATAAGATGGAGCCCTTAATTACGTGTGATATTTCTCCAGGTGCGTTTCACCAGCAAACAAATGCCACATTTATTTATTTATTTATTTATTTGGTTAAGCACACGAATTTCACATGAAAGATCCATTTGAATACAAGAAAACCTTATAAAGAAAGATCAATAAAATGAAGCACAGGCCAAATAGAAGTGGAAATTCCAAGATTCCAAGTCTCTTCTCTAGTCTAACAAGAACAGCACTACTAGCAAACAAAACCCTGCCCACCCCAACATTAAAGGACTCACTCTTTGCTAGCACAGTAAACCCTCAAGGAGACAAAAGCTTCTATTTAGGACAATTGAATCATTAGATGCCTTCTCATAAAGGTTTTATAAATGCAAACCTCAATCACCTTAACATGAGCAATTATAAATATGTATCAATACTAATATTTTGTTTTTCATTTGAATTCAAAAGCTTCAACACCATGGACATTGAATTAACAGACAAGCTACTCATTTATATTTGGTTTGATTGTTCCAAAAAAACAGGAACCCATATATTTTAGAGGTAGATTGGAAGCATTACCATAAACTCACATAGTTTTATACAGGTGTTCCAATCATATGACATGCCAGACCATTCATTCCATATATGCTCAGAAGGGTACAAACCAAACCAACTAAAAGGTACCTCTATGATGGGATAAAAACGCGAAAGCTGCCATGTTTCTCCTTCACTTGGACGTTCTTTCCTACCTCCACGTTTCTTCTGATAATCGAATAGCTTCTTGTTAGATATCGATGAACCGATTGAAAGAACTAAAGAAAAATTCTAATATATACATTCACCTTATGCATATCAAACTTCAGAGCAAAAGTGGCTATTGAGCTTTTTTTGTTATCTGATGATCCCCCAAGCAGTCTCATATTATTTACAGCATTCATATCATCGGGTGGTAATTTTGCTAACTGAAAACAAAGAAATTTATCACAAACAAACACTTGTCTAAGGCTATACACTGATTGACCTTGGGTGGTACCAACCTTCATCAAATTGTGACCCTTCTCACCCTCAAATTTCTCAGGATAAATGGCTGCAAGAATCATCAACAACCGCAACTTATTTTCACCAGTCGTATCCTGCATAAAAACGGTATATGTTTTTTACAAAATATGATGACAAGGAATCTGGTGCATCCATATATATACTTCTATAGTTTCTTACATCTTTTGTAGTCAAAAATTTGATCACATCTTTCATTCCTGCATCTCCAAAAACAAGATCCTGCTCCAGCTGTCCAAGTTCTCGAAGCCCAAGCTCCCGGATAATTCTGTTAACTTTCCCTGCAATCTGGAATAAACAAATTTTGCCTAAAGCCATGGCTATCATACTTAAAGTCAACAGCTTGAAATTTCTTTTAGTCATTCAATATGCTGTCACTTCTAATGTAAATCTTACCAAATCCTGTTATACTTTTATTTAGTATTTTCTGTGAAACAGAAATTTGAGCTACTGTGTTGCTTCTCTTGGTTAGGTAAAAATGAAACCTCAAATTATCGTTTCCAATAGGATATTGGCAAGTTCAAGGAGGAAAAAGAAAACAAATGAACATAAAAAAGAAAAACAAATAAGACTCCACTGTCATAAGTTGTTTTCGTATATACTTAAGCAACTTAAATCCTTAAACCAATTTTTAACTTGTTGAAATTTTATAAATCAAACAGATACTTTAAATTAGATACTATATCAAAGAACTAACCTCAACATGAAGGGATAGCTTGTCAATTTGTTCACTGTATTGCGGCAATGCTTGAACCATCTTTTGCAAGTCCCTCGTAGATAGTTCCCGAGCATCTCTATATAAAGGTGAATGTTTACGTGAGAAACAGAACAAGACAGAAATTGACATACCGAATAGACTTGCATAAGCTTCCAAACATTAAACAGAAATTTACATGTAAGATACAATCGATAGAAAAAAAAAAAAAAAAAAAAGGCATGAAAAGGATGAAAGATCAAATTATTTTATTTATACATAAATTTGGGTTAAATTTGAATACCAATAATAAAAATCCTAAAAGAGCAAATCACATATCCTTTTTTTGGAAGGGGAGCAGTCACATTATGGAAATATCTTACACAGCGGAGTCATTCCAGATGTCAGCAAAACCCAAATAGACATTTGCATTGCCCCTTATAGAGCAACCCTAGGCGCAACTCAAACGATAAAAGGGTATTTATGTAATTTATATGCCAACCAATTTTCATTTAGATGTAGATTCTGGCTAAAATGGTGTCTTATAGCCATCTCCATAT